AGGGAAATCGGATCTTGTTCGAGTTACCAAGGGGTTTGAGTTAACTGAGCTCGTGTCAGCGGGGTTTAACTGTAATAATAAGAAGATAACGATGAACTAAATCAACAAAAACTACAACATCAACTGAGATCCAAGCAACGATTACAACGCATAATTAGTTTTCTATACCTTCGACAACAATTTTCACAGTTGCAGACTCGACCCCTATGAAATTCCTTGCTTCGCATCTGTACAGGCCTCGATCGTTGAAATGAATGCTGGGAAACGTCAACATGCCTGTATCTTTGTTATACTTCCTGGAGTTCATCTTTTGGCCATTTTTAAACCACGTGACCTCTGGTTTTGGAAAGCCTTTTGAGTAGCAGGGTAGAGAGACATTGCTATCCTCTTTGACAGTCATGCTGGTTGGTGGCTTCTTTTTTATTCTTGGGATATCTTGGGCGCAAAAAAAGATAAAAGTGCTTATAATGTGGTTTGCTGTGGTTAAGAGCACTGCTTCAATCTTTCAAAGAGGAAGTCTTTAAAGCTGTTTCAAACGCAAACAAAAAAATAAGTATTGTTCTCTGGTGTCAAGCCGGTCGTAGTTTATCCATGATTATAAGTTTTTGACAAGTGGCCCAACCGCTTTAGAGACCGATCAATCACAATTAAGTATCTTTCTGTCTCACCAATGTTTTCAATAAACATAGATGCTGTCAGTAAGCCAATTAGGCTGTGTCACAGAATTATCAAGGCTCCAAAATATACAAAAGGCAACTCTAATATTCAGATACTGGAAACGCGCATAAGCGTTTAAAGTGCTGCAATGTTCACCCCCAGCCGTTTTCTTTTTGGTAGTTTTCATTCATAATTCTCTTTGGAAATTGACTAACATTGGTAGAAGATGAATGTATCGATGCACTTGTCCAGGCACCTCCATCATAGAGTTTGAACAAACTTTATAGAAGCCAACATTATACAACAAAGCAACTCCAAATCACCTATATCCTGGAGTAGTCTCGAAGTATTTCCCGCTAAAGCGCTTCCAGGTCTCCCTCTGGGTCCTTGGCGACCACGTGCCCCAGGAGGACCCCTTTTCCCCGCCTTTCCAATGTAACCTGGGCGACCCCTACGTCCTCGGGGCCCATCACGGCCCTGCGGCCCACGAGCTCCTGCAAGGAAATTTCAGATTGGGTCCATTTGTTAGTTTAAAAATGGCAAACTGTCAGCACCTCTGAAATAAATCCCGGATTTCCGCAACAAAGATGAATTTGTTTGCAAAACAGAATTAAGAATGTTGGTAATGATATCATAACCCTGAAATCAAAGATATACACTCAGATAAATTCGAAATTTTATTTAAAAAAGAAGATCATTTTGATAACTGCTACACACAAGTAATAGAAAAAAAGTCGCGTTTTTTTTAGAAGGTAAATTTTGGTGATCGACATCAGGAGGTGGACAAAGAGGGATGAGGCTGAAGGAAAACCATAATTGTAGAGTTTCAGCAAATGCTCACCTCTCATACAGATGACGTCTTGATCCGTTCCATTGTTAATTTTTGTAGTGACCTAAATCAAAAAAAATCATCCGATAAATCGATTAGAATATTAATTTCTTCGAGGTGTGATTGGTCGTTAAAAAAAGTGCATGTAACGGAAGGTTATTTCAGTGTGATGGCAAGTTTGATAAAGAATAATCATTACCGAGATGCAAAACTGATATCCCCATTACACTATGAGAAGAACCTGATTTACTCAAAAGTACAAATGAATAAAGGCTGATATTTTGTAAAGAAACTGTTTGGGGTTGCGTCGGTGGGGGTAACGAAATAATTTGGATATATCAACAAAGTTGAAATGGTAAATTGGCCACCGTAACGATTACAAAAGCTGACGTTTCGAGCATTAACCCTTCGTCTATTCGCTCCGACGAAGGGCTAACGCTCGAAACGTCAGTTTTTGTAATCGTTACGGTGGCCAATTTACCATTTCAAATTTGTTGATATATCCAAATCACTCAAAAATAGATCTTTCAAGTCCATAGTGTCATTTGTGACATCTCTAAAAAGAGCGGCTGAAAAAAGAGGGGAGATAAACCAATTGCCCATAGATCGAAATGGCGAACTTATAATCAAAGCACAATGGACTGTTTTATCCAAACCTCTAAAGAAATAAGATATGCGGCTTTGCTATTTTAAAAAGTACCTTTGCAGAAACTCCAAGTCCAAATAACTGGACGCAAGCATTGTGGCAACTGTTGCAGGTTTTTGATTCTTTATGATATTCAGCAGCTCTTTTGTTTCGATTCATTAAATCTGCTTGTTCACTTTCTCTCGCTTCTGCCTCGTATTTCAGATCGCTCCGCAATTGGAAAACTTCTCCCTCTAACACTTGCACTTTGTAAATGAGGAACCCAACGGACACAACACTGAATAGAATGTTGACAATCACAGCAACAGTCCAAAAACTGTTGCCTCGCAACTTCTTCACTGCCTCCATTGCTGATCAGTGAACTGAGTGCTGTTTTGCCCGAGTTTGCGGGGCTAAGTAACGGTGGAAAGTTAGACAGGAATATGCTGGTTTTGAGCTGACGAGCGTCGCCTATTCAACATCACAAGAACACATGTCTGCAATCCACTGTCGCTGTTTACGTGCGGTTGTTTGTCATGAATTCATGGTTTTGAAATTTTGTTGATTTACAAGAGACATATATTTTTTCCTCGCAATCATTTCTAGCCAGGAGGTAAAGGGAGAGGTTGAAGCAAATGCAATCTCAAGCTGCACAATTGTTCGGGGGTTTTACCAACCCGCTTGGACGAATTAACGAGAGCTACTAAGACTCTGTACTTTTCTTCTTTTATTTTCTTATGGAGAGCTATTAGAGCAACGCTCTATGCACCTAATAATCATCATCATGCGCGAGGAACCAACGCTTTAAGCAGGAAAATCGTAGACCTGTTTGGGTTAGCTGACCGTGAGAGTTTCCGCAGTGTATTCGTTGTTTTGCAAAGTGGGTAATTGGTTAGCCCTCACCGAAGTACTTGGCGAACACCAGGGAACCAATTAAACGAAAAAAACCTATGAATCTACTCTAAAAAAACCTATGAATCTACTCTAGTGACTCAGGGTCAACAAGCACTGTTATGGTACAGGGACAACTTCCTCTTGGCAAATCCAGATAAGTTTCAGTCTCTTACGATTAACCCAAGAAACATAGGTGCAGATAAGAAGGGCAGCGTTCTCACCATCGCCAATGACGCGATCAGGAAAACTGAAGAAATCAAGCTATTAGGAGTAAATATAGACAAGAACCTTAACTTTACACAACACATTAGCGAAATATGCACTAAAGCCAGCCAGAAAGTAGGAGTCCTCATGCGCTTGCGTAACCTAATACCATGCCAAGCTAAGCTCATACTGTATAAAACAGCTATAATGCCACATTTAACATACTGTCATTTAGTCTGGAACTTTTGTAAATCTTCAGATGGGCGCAAAATCGAACGCATCCAAGAGCGAGCCCTGCGTGCGGTCTTCAAAACAACAACAGAGACATATGAGGAACTTCTTAAGCGTGCTAAGTTACCTACGCTTCATAATAGACGCTTACAGGACATAGCAACACTAATGTATAAAGTAAAGAACGATCTAGTACCCAGCTACATATCTGAGATATTTACTCGAAAGGGTACTCGTTATAACCTTAGGAATAGTGACTTTGAAATACCACGATTTAACACTATACGCTATGGTAAACACACACTAAGGTATCAAGGACCATATATTTGGTCCAAATTAGAAAATGGTATGCGTGAACTACCAAGCCTTAGTATCTTTAAAACTAGAATCCGTAGAGTTGACCTGGTCAGCCTAGTGGAAGACAGTGGCAACTGCTGCAATCTTTGCAGCACGTGATTTTTTT